TCCTTAGGGTCCTTTTTTGGTATTTCACGATGCTGTTTGGACTACGAGGGCGCAACGAGCACCACCAGATGCTATGGGGAGATGTCGATCTGAAATGCGGAGCTGATGGTGAGTACCTCGAGTACTCGGAGAGACTTACAAAGACTCGCCGCGGATGCGACTCTGGCAGGGCTTTCAAGCCGAAGATTTTCTCGCTGGAGGATAAAACGAAATGTCCAGTGGAAGCATTCAAGCTGTAAGAAGTTTGTTAATTAGGCTTAACAAATTTCAGTTACGTGTATTCGTTTGTCGACTAAAAGTTACCATTATTTGAAAAATGGATGTACTTAAGATTTAATTGCTCGTGATAACGAAAAGTGAAATAGGAGATAAAGATAGGAGCAGACAAGAAATGTATTCTTATTCTGTCTTTTGTTAACAATTCCGACGAAGATCTGTGATCGAAATATCAATATCAATATATCCTTTTTGCTAATTTATATTTTACGAGGAAAGGTCATATGATACTAAAACTGATGACTGTTTTGTGTCATTGCTAAGTCTGCAATACATGTTGATTGTTCACTGCTGGTATTTAATTGGGTGGCTCTGAAACTGATATTGATTTTGTCCGAATACCAGAGATAGAGAGAAAAACACATTTGAATATACATACATAAATAAACAAGCCATAGAATAGGCAAAAAGAGCCAATAGACAATAAAATAGATGAAAAATGGAATTGCACGGCGTTGACTGTAGGTCATAGGACATTGACCTGTCTGTTTTGTATGGGTCATTGACCCGTTCACTGTTTGTTAGTGCACGGAGTGCACTAACAAACCTGTTAGAAACGCTTTCATCCTCAACACGTGCTCCAATGGAAAAACGATCTTGAAGGCCACCGCACACTAGCCATTCGGCCGGTTCATTCGGCCATTACAGCAGCGATTTTCTCGCGCGAGTCTTTATATTGGCCGAAACAACGAACCAACGACGGTGCATTCGGCCCATATTATTCAGGCATTCGGCCCAAGCGATGTTCACGCGACGACCGAAAAAAAGTTCGACCGGTTGAACTTTTCTCGCCGAAGCAGTCATTTAGCGGCCGAAAATCAACAGCCGCCATATTGTTTTCATACAACCTTGACAAGTGTTGTTTACATTCCAATCATTTTCGATGTGAGGGGCTCGTGTGGTGTGGAGTTGTTTGCGATGGAAATGAAGTAAGTATTCGAATGAATATGGTGGAGTTTTCCAAAAATCATTGGGGGTGCTCAATAGCGTTCAGAAAGGCATGCCATAGTCTTTGTAGTTTTTTAGCTGCTCTTTTTTACTGTAGCCATCAGGCATCATGCAAGAAATGATGTTAAATCGGTTCGAGAGCTTGTTTTAATAGCGCCACGGTAAAACAATTTTGGCTCACCCAATGCTGAATGCAAACCCGCGCGGGGCTGGGGTCTCCAGCCGAACGCGCGGGGCTGGGGGATAAATTTTACCCCCTGTTATCTCCCGTACTAATAGTCCGATTTGGAAAATTAAAACGCCAATCGAAAGATCTCATCACGAATAACTAAAAACATGTACTTAATTTAAAGTTTGAGGTCAAGGTCAAGGTCAGGTCAAGGGTACAAATTGCAAGTTTCTACAGTATCGGCCTTGCACCGTAAGTTGCCGAAGAATGGAGTCATGGACTGAGACTGATTGCCCAAAACGTGTTTGGGCCTGACCTTGGCCATAAGTTTGGCAGGCCAGATTTTGTACTGGACCATTTTGAGTCAACTTTGAAAAATACATAACGTACAACGGTGGTAAAATCGTTGCTATAGGTATAACACAGTTAACCCGCTCCGGGTGTGAGGGAGGGATGTGGGGCAATGAGTGCACTGACGTGGCGCCCTCGGAGGGCCGGTATGGGATTAAATTTCAGCTACACTAAGGGCTTGTGTGGTGCCTTCAGTTATCGGTGGCACCCTCAGAATCACCGGCGTAGGGCCCTCAGAGCCGCCGGTAAGGGAGGCACCGGTGTGGGGCCGCCATGCAGGTGCCGGTGTGGGCGATCAGAGGTGCTAGTGTGATTCTCTCAGAGGCGCCGATGAGGATCCTTACAGGCGTTGCTCCGGGCCCTCATAGACGCTGGTGTAGAGCCGTTACAGACGGGTGTGGGACCTTTAGAGCTGCTGACGCGAGCTCTCTACAAGCCGGCAGGGGGTCTCAGACTCTCAGTGACCGGCAAGGGGTCCTTAGGGCCTTAGGCCGGCAGAAGAAGTCGTGCGGGGTCCTAAGAGACCGGCATGGTACTGTCAGACGCCGGTGGGGCCCTCAGGGTCACCGTTGTGGGGCCCTCAAGTCATCAGTGGGTGGCCTTTAGATGCGCAGGTGTTGGGTGGGTCCTCAGAGCCGCCGATATAGGGCTTTAATAGGCACTGGTGTAGGCACTCGGAGTTGGGGGTGTGAAACCCTCAGAGACACCGGTGTGGGCCCTCATAGGCACCGACGAGGGCCCCATAGTTGCCGTTATGGGGCCCTCAGAAAAATAAGTGTGGGACCATCACAGGTGGGAAATGCCCCTAGAACTGTCCCCTCATAGGCCGGTAAGACCTCTCAGAGGCCAGTAAAGGCTGAAGCAGACTCTTTCCGCGTTCAGGAAATCGCATGCGAGAGCCTATTCAAATACATTGTAATTCCTCTCGCATCAATCGCTCGCGGGAGGTGCGTGCGATTGATGCGAGCGTGCTTCCATGTATTTGAGTAGGCTCTCGCATGCGATTTCCTGACCGCGGAAAGAGTCTGTTTCAGGCTTAACTGGCCTTTGGAGACCACCGAGGTGTCCTTAAAAGCCGCAAGAGGCCCTCAGAAGTCGCCACCGTTCCGTGCTTCTATCCTCAGGATACTGAAATCCTTCTCCTCCACGCCGCAACCCCCCTCCGGGCTGGACAGGCAACTTTATCTCATGCGGGCTGCTCCCTTAGAGCGGCACCGTTGCTCCCGAGGGAGCGCACCCCGTAGCCGGGTGCAGTGAGTGCCTTGGGGCTGGGTGGCCTGTCCTCCGGACGGGCTCAGCCCCGGCGACTCACTAGGGTGCCTGCCCAGACCAATGTCTCCCCCTATGTCCTATCATCCTCCCGGCTCTGAAATGGTCTCATTGGACCGAAAGGGCCTAACCCAAAAAGAAAAAAAATCAGAAGTCGGCGTGGGGCCCTTATGGAGACCTTAGTGTGGCTATTTAGGGCCCATGAGGTGCTCTAACGAGCCCCACGGGGCCCTTCTGAGTAGAAATATGGCCATCGTTAACCCTCAGCGGTCAAATGGCGCCGCAGGGCCTCTCGGACCCGAGGGTCCCTTTGAACTCGATGGGGGGGGGAGGGGGTACGTGTCCCCTTAGACCCCTAGCTATGCCACTGTTTCATATGCATCATGTCAGGTATTTTAGGCTCGCCCCCCCCCCACTTGAAAATTGTTCCCGGGCCCCTGATAATATCAGATGTAATGTTAACACAAATATCATGCATCTTAATTTGTGGTGATTTATTCAATGTAGGTATATTCTCTTAGTCACTGAATTGAGTAAGCATAGTATTTGCATGATTCACTGGGCTCATTACAGTACTAGGAGACGGACATTCTGATTATTGAGGGCCTTGAGTCAGCTGGGAATGTTTTGAGGAGGCTGGGGGTGCTTTAAGAAGGCAGGGGGTGCTGAGCTCAGGATTGGGGGTGCTTGAGCACCCACAAAGAGATATAAAGTTACGCTTATGGTGTTGTGTATTTTGTCAATTGCATATGTGATTCAGATTGAAATGTTGTTTAAATATTGGTTTCAACCATCTCTGCTCCACTTTTCATTTCAATTTCAATTTCCATTTCCCCATTTTCTCCATTTACCTTCATTATACATAGTCAGTGGGCATAAATTTGTCTACTACTCAATGCCACAATAGGTATTCTTGGAAAATGGCCATTTATTATCCATATAAGCAAATATTTTCTGCTTTTGCCAATTAACTTGAAATGCTGGACACAAGTTCTAAGTTTCAAGGAGCTATTCTTAAATTATTCCATCAAAATTCAAACCTTGCAAGTCAAAGTCATTGAAAGTACATGTAATGTTCTTATATAATGTTCTTACCATGCAATCTGGGTTTTCATTTATCATTTCATTCACATTGCCTCCAACAGGCTACTGTCGCACTAATGTCCCAGTAAACATGCCGACGTCGGCCCGACGTCGGCCGACGTCGGGGTGACGTCGGCCCGACGTCGGCCGACATCGGGGTGACGTCGGCAACTCGGCATCGGCATGCCGGCGGCGGCCCGACGTCGGTCCAACCTCGGCACGACGTCGGCTGGATGTCGGATATGCCCGCATGTTCCGACGTCCAGCCGAGGTCCAGCCGACGTCGGACCGAGATCAATTGCTGAGGTCTAGCCGACGTCGGGCCGACGTAGGGGCGACGTCGGTCCGACATCGGCCGCTGTTTTGACCGTTAAAATAATATAAAATACATGTTTCATGTTTCATAAAGAGCTTCTGTATTCAAAATATCCTCAGGGAACTCAAATCTTCCTCCACGCCGCAACCCCCTGATCCGGACTGGACGGGAAACTTTATCCCATTTGGGATTGCCCGTAAGCCGAGCTCGCCCGTAGCCGGGTGCGGTGAGTGCTTGGGGGCTGCTCGGCCTATCCTTTGGTCAGGCTCAGCCCCGGCAACTCACCAGGGCCGGGCCCAGTTCATATAGAAAGGCCAGTCGGCAAGTGTCACTTTGCCAAAGTGCCACTTATCAAAGGGACACTTTGGGCAACGTTGGTGCAGGTGTGTAAGAGTGGCTATATGAATCCATTGTGGGGGTCGCCCTTTCCAATAAGTGTCACGTAACAGCAATGGGACCAGGGACTCTATATGAACTGGACCCAGGGTGCTCGCCAAGAAGACCGATGTCTCCATCCTATGACCCTTCCGGCTCTGAAATGCTCTTGTCAGACCGAAAGGGCATAACCCAAGAAAACAAACTGTAGAGTCTTCATGCAGCGTACTTCTGTATTCAGCGGCGATGGCGACAGTGTCACAGTCACAGCCCGACTCCCCGTCCGGCCGAGCCCACCCCAGCGTCTGGCACGGTCGGTCACGTGACCGGCCGGTCATGCGACCGGTCGCGGCCAATTGGGCCGCGCCCTCGACGGGTCAACTAGGGTTACATGCACCACATCACCTCCCTTCAAAAAAAAAAAAACACGCTTATAACCTCACTGTACACCTCACGGAACGCGACAAAACCAGACACTCTGGAAAAAGTCAGGAGAATTCCGCACACGACCGGATCTCCGAGGCGACGGCGCCGATGTTTGCGCACCCGGAACGTCCGGTCCGCCACTGGTCTCCGACGGCCCCCGGCGCGCACCGGCGGGCGCCGCCCGCTCAGGGGAATGCACCACAGTTTTTGGATTCGACGACTGCGACTGCGAACCCGTGGCAGCACTCGGGACTGGCGGCGGCTGCAGCTCCTCAACCGGCGGCCCAGCAGTCGAACGACGCGTGGCCATGTCGTTCTCGGCGGCGGCCAGCGCGGCGCCTTGAGAGACGGTCCCAGCAGTCGGTCGAGGGACGCCGCCACGGGAGATCTCGACATCAGTGGGCAGCATCGTTACAGCCGGTGTGGTAGTGCATGCCGCACCAGCCGGTTGACCTGCCGAAGGAACATAGCTCAGAAGCTGGTCCGCATGTCTGCGCCACGTCCTGCCGTCATCAAGGCGAACAACGAAGGACACTGGTCCGTCAGCACCAACGATTGTACCAGGTAGCCAAACGCTTCCAGAGCCATAGTTCCGTGCGAGCACGCGGTCGGTTACAGAGAAGAGTCTATGCCTCGCCGAACGATCATGATGGCTCTTCTGAGCGAACTGAGCCTCGGCCACTGACCTGTTCAAATCGGGATACATACGATCGAGTCGTGTCTTCAGCTTGCGTCCCAGCATCAGCTCGGCAGGCGTTACAGTCGTTGTAGAGTGAGGCGTCGTTCTCTGCCGCAGGAGCCACTTGGACAACGCCAGCTCCCAGCCGTCTCCTGCGTCTCTCTGCAACACGAGTTTCACTTCCTTAACCACGCGCTCGGCCAATCCATTGCCCTGGCTATGTCGGGGCTCGATCGTGCGGTGGGAGACCCGGTTGCCGGCCAAGAAGCGCTGAAACTCATCAGACGTAAAGGTGGTAGCATTGTCGGAGACTAACATATCTGGCAGTCCCCACCTTGCAAACACACGGCGGAGACAAGCGATAACGGGAGCAGAGGCGGTGGACGGCAGAATCTCCGCCTCCACCCACTTGGAATGGACGTCGACCATGCAGAACACATACTTGCCGCGTACCGGTTCGGCGAAGTCGCAGTGGATCCGGGACCACGGTCTAGATGGCCAGGCCCATGGATGCAGCTCGGCGTGCGGCGGCTTGGGTCGACTCTGCTGGCAAGGCGAACAGTTTTGCACAACCCGCTCGATCTGCGCGTCGATACCAGGCCACCATACAATCGATCTGGCTAACGACTTCATACGCCGCATCCCGGGGTGACTCACGTGGAGTTCACGCAGAACGGTCTCCCTACTTGACTGGGGTACCACCACCCTGTGACCCCACAGAAGCACTCCCGCTGTCTGAGTAAGCTCGTCCCTCCTTCTGATAAACGGTTTGAAGTCATCTGGTGCCTCGGACGGCCAGTCTGCGAACTGCACCCACCTCAGGACTTTGGACAGCACCGGATCTCGACTGGTCTGCAGCGCGATCGCCTTGGAATCCAGCCAGTCTGCACCTGCGAGGAGAACCAGCTCTTCAGCATCATGAGGCACATCATCAACCAGCAGCACCAGCTCTTCCATCTGTGCGCCGACTTCTGTGGGAACAGGTAAGCGACTCAGTGCATCTGCGTTACCCATCTGGCCTGTAGGGCGGAACCGTATGGTGTAGTTGTAACACGACAGTTTAAGCGCCCACCTGCGAATCCGCGCGGCAGTCATCTCTGGCAGTCCTTCATGTTCACCGAACAACTTCACTAAGGGCTTGTGGTCAGTAACCAGAGCGAACGGTCGAGGTACGCCACACAAATAATTGTGGAACTTTGTGACTCCAAAGATTATGGCCAGTCCTTCGCGCTCTATCTGGGCGTATCTAGACTCAGATAGTGACAGCCGTCGAGATGCGAAAGCGATGGGCATCTCTCTCCCTGCGTCATCGATCTGAGACAGCACAGCGCCCACACCAACGCTAGAAGCGTCACAAGTCAAAACGAGCTGCTTGGTGTTGTCATAGTGGACAAGCAACGTATTTGCTGCCAACTTTTCCTTGACCTTGTTGAAGCTGTCTCTCTCCTTTGAGCCCCAGCGCCACACAGCATTCTTCCCTAGGAGGTCATAGAGGGGTGCCGAAATAGAAGCTCTGTCAGGAACAAATCGCGAGTAATAAGATATGAGACCCAGGAAGGTCTTCAGCTCCGATACTGTCTTGGGCTCGGGGACAGCCAAGATAGCCTTTACCTTGGAGGCGTTCGTGCGGACTCCGCTTGCGCTGATGAGGTGTCCCAGGTGGTTGACCTGACTCTGGAAGAGCAGACACTTCTCCTCCCTGACACGGAGACCGGCGTCTTGAAGACGTTGACAAACGACGTCGAGCAGCTTCCAGTGCTGCTCCCGGGTCTCACTGCTGAGCAGAACATCATCGAGGAAGACGACGACTCCAGGGATGCCCGCCAACAGCTTCTCCATCTCGCGCTGGAAGACACCACTGGCCACGTTCACGCCGAACGGTATCCTGGAATATCTGAGAAGCCCACGAGACGTGTTGATGGTGAGTATCTCGCGTGACTCTTCATGGACGACCAACTGATTGTATGCCTGCGCTAGGTCGAGTTTGGAAAATATATTTTTCCCACTCAAGGAAGACAACATGTCCTCCGTCTTGGGCAGAGGGTAACGGTCCATGCGCACAGCAGTGTTAGCGGTTAGCTTGAAATTTGCGCAGACTCTGATCTTGCCATCAGGCCAAATCACAGGTACAATAGGGGCTGCCCAGCGACTGTCTTTCACTGGTACTAAAACCCCACTAGCGATATCAGCATCTAACTGCTCCTCTACCTTTGCCTTGTATGCATACGGAATCGAACGGGCCTTGCAAAACTTGGGCCTCACAGATTGGTCAATATCAAGGTGAACACGCACCCCCTTAAGCTCACCCAACCGTGGAAGGAACAGATCGGGGTACTTGCGTTTGATCATGTCCGTGGCCGGCTGTGACGTTGGAGAGCGTAGAGCGTGTACTTCAGACCAGTTGATCCTCATCAGGTGCAGCCAGTTGCGGCCCATGAGGCTCGGACCAGAGCCCTTGACCACGATCACGGGAAGATCCCTGTGCACAGAACCGTTGTACGATACATCAGTGGTGAACTGACCCAACACAGGAATGACATCACCTGAGTACGCCTTCAAGGTAGTAGAGCACGGTGTCAACTTGGGCCGACTGTTCAACCTGAGGTAAGTATGCTCGTCAATGATGGTGACCCCCGCGCCCGTATCCAACTCCATATCCACCCGCTGACCATGCATCTCGACGGGACACCAGATGGGCGGCACACTCACCCCAGTGCGTCTTACCATGTAGACGGGGTCAGAGCTGGAGAGATTATCCAGCTGCAGCGTTTCCGGTGACGCAGCAGGATCATCTTCAGCCAGTCGGTTGGTGCGCTCGTCTCTGCCTCGCGTACAGCAGCGCGACAGATGACCGATGGCACCGCAGGAATGGCACCGGTAGTCCTTGAAGCGGCACGTACCGCCGTGTCTGGAACCGCACCGCCAGCACGGCCGGCCGCCGTCCCGCGGCGCCGCAGCGCGCTGTCCGCCGCTGCCCCGCGGCGCTGCGGCGCGCTGCCCGTTGTCTGGGCCGGAGGCGCGCCGCCCGCCATCGGGCGGTGCCCGTCCGCCAGAGCTCGCGCCGGCACGGCTCGACCCGAACGGCGGCGGGCCCTCGGGCGGTCCGCGGGTGACCCTGAAAGCAGCAGCTCCGTCCGTGTGGATCAGCTGCGACTCACGTCTGACCGTCTCAGACGCCCTGGCATGCTGCAAAGCGATATCCAACGTCAGGTTATCCTTGCACAACAGCTCATTCTGGCACTTGCTGTCGCTCATCCCACACACGACTTGATCACGTAAAGCAGTCTGCAAGTACGGGCCGAAATCACAATTGACCGCGATCTTCTTGAGCTCAGCAACAAAATCCATGACACTCTCCCCTGGTGCCTGAGTACGTTTGAAAAACTTGTAACGTTCAGCGATCTCGATGTTTGACGGTTTGTAATGTGCACTCAAAAGATCTACGAGCTCATCATATGTACAATCTTCTACGGTTCTTGGGATGATCAAATCCTTCAGTTTACTGTACGCTACAGTACCAATGCATGTTAAAAACACAGACTTCTTTTTATCTCCCAATATCTCATTGCTGACACAAAAATGGTCAAACAGTTCCCGGTAAGTGTCAAACCGGTCGATCGATGGATCGAATGTACTTATCGAACCGATGACCATGTTGCCGAGTTCAGTCCTCTCCCGTTTCCTTGCTTCGTGACTTCGTTCTGAAAAATCCTCGTCGCCAGTGTAGAGTCTTCATGCAGCGTACTTCTGTATTCAGCGGCGATGGCGACAGTGTCACAGTCACAGCCCGACTCCCCGTCCGGCCGAGCCCACCCCAGCGTCTGGCACGGGCGGTCACGTGACCGGCCGGTCACGCGACCGGTCGCGGCCAATCGGGCCGCGCCCTCGACGGGTCAGCTAGGGTTACATGCACCACACAAACCTAATTCGTTAGCTGGCTGCGTGGTGTAGTGGTTAGCGCACTAACCTTGCGTTCGAATGACACGGGGTTCGAATCCCGTCGCCGGCTGATGCTTTTGGCGTGTTGTCCCAGTAAACATGCCGACGTCGGCGACTGGGGGGCTCGAATCCCGCCGCCGGTTGATATTTTTGGCGCGTTGTCCCAATAAACATGCCGACGTCGGCCCCGTCGGTCCAACGACAAACGATCTCGTCAACCTCGGCAAACGATCTCGGCCCGACGTCGGCTCGACGTCGGCTGGACTTCGGGTGGACGTCGGAACATGCGGGCATATCCGACGTCCAGCCGATGTCGGGCCGAGGTTGAACCGACGTTGGGCCGACGTCGGGCCGAGGCTCGGCGCGACGTCGGGCCGACGTCGTCATGTTTACTGGGGTGTCACATATTAGATATGTAGGTACTTCATTGCATGGTTGGTGAAAGTGTTGAGCACAACTCTTTCTTATGGTACAAGAAGTGCCATAATTCAAAATCTGAGTTGTCAAAGTATAATAGAAATTCCATTTTTCAGAGTATTTTTTTCCTCTTTCTGTGTTTCTGCCAGATCAAGATGTTGGTTGTGTCAAACGCAGGGCCATGAAAGAAAAGTCTGGAACATTGTTAAAGCTTTATGGGATGCACACAAACACTTGCATGCAATATTTGCATTGAAAGAGTTGTGAGATCAGCATGCTGAATGTGTTTTTTTTTTTTGTTTTTGTCTGCTCTGTACAGGAGCTCATTTTATGTTAAATAAAATGTAATGGCACTGAACAAATATGAAAATAGCCACCTGTCCTTTTTGTAGTAACTATTCACCATTCAATACTGTTTTGTGTTTCATTTATTCCCCAGAGATCTTTCACAATAGTGATAGTTTTCTTCTCTGCCGGGTCAATGAACCAGGTAGATGTGTCCACTCCAACCAGTGCAGATCCACCTTTGTGTACAGTTGTACACATTTCAGTGTGATGAGTAGACCTTTGATAGCTGTTCCACCAACCCGCCTTTAGATGGCGCGCGCGTCTCCCAGCAGGCAGCAGAGGCGACATCTACTGTCGGCTCAGCCGGTGTGGAGGGTGTACCGAGTGTCATTACCAATATACATACCTATAAACACGCCATTGCAGTGGCCTCACTCGAGGTGGGCTGGACCCAAGAGGATGGATGACTCGGGCTAAAACGATGACGCGGGTCGTGGGCCCAGCAGCACAACAGGTGGCGTTCAAAATGAACAAAGTCCCTATGTTTTCAGTTGGGTCGGAGAAGTGGATCTCATTCAAGCGGTACACAACAAGCCAGTTTCATGAAACATGAGTCTTCCTGGACGATGAGGCACCAGCTGAACCGCAAACGGCCGGCGCACCAGCTCTGTCCCCGGGGCCGGCGCCCCGGCAAGCAGCACCAGCTCCAAGGCCGGCGCTCGGGCCAGCCCCGTCTCCGGAGCGGTCGGTGCCGGCATCACCAGTGTCCACAAGGAGCAGCCGTGCCCAGTCGAAACGCTCGCAGCACTTCAAAGTGTACAACAGGTGGCTAAACCGTTGAATGATGCCGACCTGACTTTCGGTCAGTGTGTAAAAGCGGTTCGAAAAAAAAGCCATCGCTCCCGGAACTTCCGCTCACTGGCGCGCGACGTCTCCTCCGTCGGCTCCGGCAGGTACACTGCACCGCGAACGTTCACGATCACGCAACAGATGTACACCAACGCGCGCGTGGTGGACTCCGCGAGCCGGTAGCTCGGCGCCAGAGCGGAAAATTCAGCCCCCGACGTCAGATAGTGGAGTGTAATCGCCAGCCGCAGCGGTGCGCTCACCGGCTGGAGGAAGGTGGTGGTCGAGCGGGTGATCTGGCCCTCGATCTGTGCTAGTAGGAGGCTGAAGGCTCCCTAGCTCAGTCGGAAATACTGAACTTGTGTCGCTGGGGGTCGTTGAGCCGAAGCTCCTGCTCTCGGTTGGCGTGCTCGCCCAGCTCGTCTCGGCGCTGTAGCACGTCGCTGACCCCATGCGCCGGACCAAGGGTCTGCGTCTCTCCTGCACCCTTTGGAGTGCCAGCTTGAAGTACAGTATCGCGATGGCTAGTTGAAGTGTGTACGGGTTGCTTGGTGGCTCAGCATGCAGATAACCAAATCTTTTGGTCCCAGAGCATCAATACAATGCACATTAATTTTGCTAAGTTTGGTTGATCGCTTGCGATATGCTCAGACCATTTAGACCTCAATAGTCGGTGTACTTTGCTCAATGTTTGTTTTTAACAGCCAATTTGTTTTCATTATCAGGCAAGCTACCTACTCAAACTGCAATTAACCCTCGCCCGCACATGTCATTTTCCCATCCTAGAACGCACATGGGGGGGGGGTGGTTGCCACCCCCCCCCCGCGCCATTTCGTTCCTGTTGGAGATAGAGCTTAGCAGTAAAGACCAAAAAGATTCTTTGGGAAGAGACGAATCCAATGATACCCAGTTTTACCTTCTCAGGTCAGTCATTGACCTTCCAGGTCAGGTCAAACTAAAAAATGTTGCTGTTTTGGGTCACCGTTGGATATCAAGTGCGCTGCTTATCAAATACCGATGACGATGCCGTTTTCTGGTGCCAAGCCAGCTAGAACCTCTTTGTCACACTATCCGACCAGAATTTTGCTGCTGAGATCATTTCAGGTCAAGTTAGGTCAAGGTCAATTATATGTGTTTGTATGTCTGTGTGTGTCTGTGTGTATACTGATGTGTGCAACGATTGTTTTTGGGTCCATATCACATGAAATCATGATCTGAGAAGCTTTTACCAAAAATGCAGTCAAAAAACTTCACAAAAAGTAAATTCAGCTTGCCTAAAACGCAATTATCTTAGATGACCTAGGTTGACCTTGACCCTGACCTTGACCCCTGGACATCGTCGAACAACATGTTCCATGATAGGTGGGAGGTAAGACTGGCAAAAAAGGCCGAAATCAGGGTGTCAAAAGCTCACAAGGCCCATGGCAAACGCAAGATGTTGAGAATTGGCCATTTGGGTCATGACATGACCTGAAAAACAAGGTCATATCTCCGAAACCAAAAATCACAGAAACTTGAAATTTTCAGTGGACATCAAGAAAGGATAGACGAGCAGCTATACGAAAAATCAGCCTTCTAGCTCTAAAAATGTTGAGTGCAGAGCAGAAAGACTGCCTGGGGGGTGGCAACCACCCCCCCCCCCATGTGCGGGCGAGGGTTAACCTATAATTTTGTTTCTTTTTTGAACGATGCACCAAATAACTATATGAAGCTGGATTCTATTTGGTCTTTTCCAATATTCATTATAAAACATTCATTACTTGCGCTCTTGGAATTCGGTTACAACAGTTTAGGCGATATTTCAACGACGATATTTCTGCTCTAAGCGATTCGGCCATTCGGCCGATATAGACACTTGCGCGAGAAAATCGCCGCTGTAACGACCGAATGAACCGGCCGAATGGATAGTGTGCGGTGGCCTTCAGTCATATACTAATGGCGTTTACGGCATGTCTGTATCTTTATTCTGTGATTTCATATGATTTTTTGAACATATGCCGTTTTTGGTCGAAAACTCAGAAATCATGACGTCACTAAAACCTTGATATCTCAAAATTTTTCCAACTTGTATATTTGAAACTTTGTCACAATAAACTTCAATCAATTCCCTACAATTATTTATGCTATACCCTGGCGAAAAAAGTGGGGGCGTTTAACACCCCCCCCCCCCCCCGAGCAACTCGCGGGTTAACACCGGTGTCGCTGCGCTGAGCGGTGGCCGTCCCGTTTGTTGGATTCTACAGCAGGCTGGCGGAAAGCGTTACCTGCCGCCCGTCCACCGCCCGCGGGCCGGACCGAGCGGTCCCGCTGACGCTACATGACCTGAGCCCGGCGCGATATGGGACAAGCAGACGTGGGTTCGGCTCAGCGGAGGCAGCGCCCACTGGTGTTGGGGACTTTTTTAATAGACCTACTGTACAGGGTGTCCCATAAGTTCCTTCTCACCTATATTTTT